AAAGGCCAAGAGGCCCCCAAGAGGCCCCCAAGATGGTACACGAGGGGTCCGACATGCCACAAGATCGCTCCAAGACGCCCAAGATAGCCCCCAGACGCCCCAAGAGGCCTCCAAGAGCACTCCCAAGAGGGCCCCCGGAGGCAAAATTCAGGTTTTTGAGAGATTTTGGAGCTTCCACCTTTTCGGCTTCCCGACGCCCCAAGACGGCCCAAGAGGCCCCCAAGATCGCCCCAAGAGGGCCCAAGAGGCCCCCAAGAGGGCCCCAAGATGGCCCAAGAGGGCTCGAAGACGGCCCAAGAAGCCTCCAAGACGGTCCAAGAGGGCCCCAAGAACGCCCCCAAAGGGGCCCCAGAGAGGGAACACGAAACAACATTTCGAGCCCTCGGCCCTAAGAAGCCCATACGAGGCCCCAAGAGGCCCCTAAGAGGCCCCAAGAGGCCCCCACGAGGCCCTCAGGAGGCCCCCAAGAGTCCCCCAAGCGGCCCCAGGAGGCCCCCCAAATGCCCCCCCGAGCGCCCCACGAGTCCTCCAAGCGGCCCCAGGAACCCCCAAAGCGCCGCATTGACACCAGGCCCTCGGGCAAACGGCAGACATGAGACTGTATGGGCCGGCGGAGTGAGCGAAGCGATTAAATAATTCGAATAGTCCACAAATGTCGTCCCCAAGGCATTTCTTCCCTGTTCTTGAACTTTCCTCCTGTAAAGGGCCATGCCCAACTTAAGACTAACAGCAAGTCCTGTGCATTCTGAGCAGGACTCGTGGTCCGCGCCGCCGCGGGCACTCTGTCCACTTGAGACCGAAGTCCGCCAGCCCAACAGCGGCCGCTTCTCTCACCGAGCGCGTCCCGCTACTTGCAAGTCGCCTGCTCGCAAACGTCAGGGAAAATGCTGTCTTCCTCGATGGAATGGATCGTAGTTTGCGAGTAGTTCTTCTGGGAGTAGTGAGTGGTGGAACGCGCTTCTCCATGTTGGTTTTGGACAGCATTTGTTCTTGGGCGTTGTCCTCCTTTGTTCCGTACCTATGTCGGGCGTCCACAGCGGGCACCTTGGCGGCGGCATGCCGCCGCGCCCCAGACGCTCGCACGGGCCCGCTCGCCCAACCTTCCCACGATCAGCTCCCTCATCATAGAAGAAGAAAAGGCGCCATAAACTTTGGCGCCTCGCGCGGATTTCTTTGCTCCGCGCTTGGCCTCCCCCCGCGTCGCCTCCGGCGCCGCCCTTGGCGCGCTCCGCGCGCCAGGGAAGGGGGTCCAGCGCAGATCCAAGAAATCCGCACGGAGCGCCAAAGGTTTATGACTATGGCGTTGTATTCTTCGTCCACATCAGCCCTCCCTTCGGGAGCAAATCATGGGAGCCTTTGGGTGTCCTCGTCCCGCCGTCTTCAGAGCGCGTCAGCATGCGATAGCGTCTGGTAGTCCATCAGGGAGCGCCGACGTAGCGTCGGTGGGCGTCGATTCGCAAGAGCCAGCTAGATGGCATGGGGGGCTCCAGTGAGTTACCACATCATCCTCCTCACCCATTCTCATCCTCCTCCTCACCCATTCGCCTTCTGCTTCCTGCTCCTGCTCGTCCTCGTCCCCCCCCTTCCCTCGTACTTTTCGCCTCCTCCTGCTCCTCCACCGCCTCGTCCTCCCGGGACGCCTGGGTCCTCTCCGAAGGGTGGCCCGCCGTGTGCTAATCTGGGAGGTGTGGAGGGTGAGGCAAGATGTCCTTGACCAAGCCAATGTCCTACACCCCACTGGAGAACACACCTAGCTCTCGGCAGACACGGCCGCGAGGAAACGGTCGTAGTGTGGACGTTATTGTGCCACAGTCGGACCTAGGACAACATAACGTCCTTCAAGAGCAAGAGACCCTCCGCAGGCCAAAGCACACAGAACGTCCGAGGGCAACTACCCTCTCCAGGATGCGCACGAACATCCAACCGACACGAATAATATTAGGGTACAGTGGGGGCCCATGCCAAGGAATGCCCTGCTTGCCTCCAGGATGCCCTGGGTTTCTTGGCTTTCGATGGTTTTGCGGTTGAAAGCGCGACGTTCCCACACCCGAAAGCAATGGACGTCCTTGGGTCTCAGGGTTGGGTTTCTTGAAGGAGGTTTCCTGTGGTCGGTTCGCTACTGTGCCCGACTTGACCTCGATCTTAGACCTCGGTCTGGCTGCAGCCCGACCTCCTCGGAGCCCCCTCCTTGCACCTCCCGCCGCGCAGCGGGAGTCCACCGCAGCAGACGGCCAGCCTGGAAAGAGGCTCCGAGGGGGACGTTCTGCGGGAGAGGCTCGTGGAAGTCCAGCCCTCGGAACGAAAAGGGTTGACCTCCGTCCTCTGGGTCTTCCCGAGCCCCCCGAGCGCCGCGAGCAGATCACGGCGGGGGACGTTCTTCGGGAGAGGCTTGTGGAAACCCAGCCCTCGAAACGAAGGGTTGGCCTCCGTCCTCTGGCTCTTCCCGAGACCCCCCAGGGCGTCGCGAGCAGCTCACGGCGGCCTCTTGGGGGCAGCCTCGGGCTTCCCAGGCGAGCTCCGCTGTGGCGGCCAGGGCTCTCCCAGAGGGCCCAGAAGCACAAAAGCCGTTGTTCTCGTTGTGATCGTTGTGATCGTTGTGATCGTTGTGATCGTTGTTATCGTTATCGTTGATATCGTTGTGATCGTTGTGATCGTTGTGATCGTTGTGATCGTTGTGATCGTTGTTATCGTTATCGTTGTTGTCGTTGTGATCGTTGTGATCGTTGTGATCGTTGTGATCGTTGTTATCGTTATCGTTGTTGTCGTTGTGATCGTTGTGATCGTTGTTATCGTTATCGTTTTATCGTTGTGATCGTTGCCAGAGGGCCCAGGAGCACAACGACCGCCAGCACCCCGCTGCCTCCTCCCGGCCTCCGACGCCCCCGACTCTCCGTGGCCGCCAGTCTCCCCCCCCCCCCCAGGAGTCTGCTGCGCACGGGCGGCCCGAGGCCGCGCTCGCGGCCTTCAGGGGCCTCCCTCGCCGGACCTCGGGGCCGCCGGCTGACGAGCGCGCTCCAGTAGATCCGCAGAGGGACCACTGCGCAGGGCTCCCCCCCCCCCCAAGCGCCAAATGAGGTCCGTCAGGGGGCAGCTGCCACTGATGCGGCTCCTGCTCCTGCTGCTGCTGAAGAGATACTCCTGCACCTCCAGCTTCTGGCGCTCCTCCCGCAGCTGCTCCTCCGCGGACAGCTCGGCCTGCAGCTCGGACACCCGCTGCCGGACCCCCCCCCCCCCCACCCCGC